ATTTAATAAGGCTAATTTTTCATTAAATAAAAACCTATTTTATAATAAAATAAAACCTTTAATAAAAAAACTTTTTTAAAATCAGACAAATTTTGTAATCGTTATGTAAAATTGCTACAGGACCCACATACCCCACCCCACCCCGAAAATTGACCACACCATCCCCCCTGAAATTTTTTTACAATTCGACCACTGTGTACACCACTGTCAAAAGTTTGGGTCAGTAAGATTTTGAATGTTTTTTAAGTCTCTTATGCTGACCAAGGCTGGATTTATTTGATCAAAAATAGTCAAAACAGTAATATTGTGAAATATTATTACCATTTTTAAATACATTTTTATATTTTAATATATTTTAAAATGTAATTAATTTCTTTGATGGTCAAGCTGAATTTTCAGCATCATTACTCCAGTCTTCAGTGTCACATGATTGTTCAGAAATCATTCTAATATGCTGATTTGCTGCTAAATAAGCATTTCTTATTATCAAAGTTGAAAACGGTTATGTCACATTTGATCAATCTAATGTACCCTTACTAAACAAAAGTATAAATTTCTTTAAAAAAACATACTGAGACAAATTAGTATTTACAGAAAACGGTATTTATTGTAACTTTAAAATATTGAAATTATTAAAATGAAAATATGCTGAATAGAAGTGTTAATTTCTTTCAAAACAAACAAAACACAAAACAAAATATGCAAACAAAAAAACTTCTGTACCCTAAACTTTTGAACGGTAATGTAACGTATATAACTTAATAGAAAATATTAAGCAATTAATGCATCCTTGAATAAGAGTATTAATTGAATAAAAAGTATTAAGTTCTTTTAAAAACAAAAAAAAACAACCTTTTCCGACCGTAAACTTCTGAATTGTAGGGTAACTTACATAGCTTAATAGAAAATATCGCAGAGGATTTCTGGGAAGCCTAGGAGTGACACAAAAAACTCAATCTTTTTTTTTCCTCTTCTGGTTCATTTAAAATGAATTGGACTTCCCGACCTTACAGCTTCACAGAGCAAGCAGACTCATGCGGCATAATGAGGGCAATCACCCTTGTTCCCTTGACAGAAAGCCACTTTTCAGCAACTGCCTTTTTCAAAACAATTAGAAGCTTTAAAATATCATATATTGCAATATTTTATTTTGTAGAATAAGACTTGTGTTCAACACGGAGCTTATTTCTGGAATTTAACCAAAAACCCATTGACTTCAGGACGTGGTTACCGGATGTGCTAAAATGTGACTGTTTCTGGGTTTCTGTGCACGTTTTAGAATGACATTATTTACTGTCTTTACATTTATTTTGAAAGATGAAGCTCGCGTTTATGGTAAGGGGCGTTACATTTCCGACGTATGCTTGTGGTGTTTGGCCAATCACAATGCACTGGATCAGCTGGCTAATCAGAGCAGACTGCGCTTGTCAAAGGAGGGGCTTTGTTGAAAACGACATGTTTGAGAGAGGCGGGGCATAGAGGACCTACAATAATGTACAGTATTTTAAAAATAATGTGTTTTTTGAACATTAAAGGATGTCAACATATTCTGTTACACCAAATACACAAAATAATGATCTTTAAAATAGCATCATATGACCCCTTTTAAAATCAAATTGCAGCACGGGTGTTTTTATATAAATGTATTTTTGAAGGAACCTTCATTTAGTCATTTACATATCATCTTTCCTATAATGCCTGATAAAGTAGCATTTGTGAGCGCAGCGCTGCTTTGATTACAGCTGTTACCAGGGAAACCGCTATTTCTACCTTTTCCAAAAGCTCCTCCTACTGGCAGAGAATTATTTTGCATTTTCAGTAAGCCCGTTTGCTGAGGATTTTTTATGCAGCAAACGGGCTTAACATGCAAAGCAGAGTTGCAAATGTGAACCGGTATATATAGGCTATATTTCCCCCGGGAACAGTGCCACCACACATAGAGTGTAAGTCTGTGAACACTGTAATAGCTTACTGTACAACTGCAGCTGCATGGAGTTGTTGATGTTGTGTGAAGACATCTCCACAAAAATACCACTGTATTTGAAGGATACACCTTGAAGAAAATGGTAAGATTTACATGTTTCCTTTTTTAAATACTTTGTCAGTGATGCACCGAGTCAGACAGTACACTGCAATAAATATAGGCCTGTCTGTTTCCACTAAAAATAGCTAGGTGTTCACCTTGTCAGCAAAACTGCATACATTCAATTTGATTTTAATTGTTTAAAACAATTAAAATACTATTTGGCCAGTGTAAAAAGAATGAGATCAACTCTATTCTAAAATATTTATCTGATAACTATTTTAAACAGGTTTGTTTTATGGATATTTTGATATAGGCTATTCTAAAACTTAAGGATACTGGACGATTTTTAGCAGTAAAAATTAACGTGTATGGCACAAATGGCATTTATAGTCCGTATCTCATATTTCCTTAATGTCTTGTACCTTTG